AAACTGTTAAATACAAAACGCCGTGTGTATTTATTTCGGACTCCACAAGTGGTGTCAGGCGTGGATAGAAATCCTACCGAGTGTTTTGTTAAACAAAATTTGAAACTGTGTGCGCGGCGATAAAAGTGCCGGTAAGCACCAAAAGCAAAATTTTAAAATCCGCAGAAACTCAAACACGAATAAGTGTCTTGTTAAACAACATTTGAAACTGTGTGCGCGGCGATAAAAGTGCCAGTAAGCACCAAAAGCAAAATTTTAAAACCCGCAGAAACTCAAACACGAATTGTGCGCGTGTGTGTATAAGAGGGAAAAAAGCCTCAATGCGCAAAATCAAAGTGCCTTAAAGTGCGAACAAACGCAGCATACGGTGGCGAAAAGATTTTTTTTTCTTTCGCAAAGTACAAAAGTGAAGTGCAGTGTTAAGGAAGCCCCAGAAATACATTTTGCCAAGGGCCGGACACTGTACCCTTAATTTGGCGTGGCGTGGTCGGTGGCGACAATTAAGAGCACCGTTATCCCAAGCCGCTGTAACGTCGAGTCGACGAGCGCAGTCAAAAACAAAAAAGCAGAAGCAGCGCAACTTAGACAGCGAGCGCTGTTGCGAAACCGAGCAGCGTGCGCAGCAGAGAGCGCAACCGCAACAGTAGAGCAGAGGAAGAAGAGCGAAGGCAGCAAGTAAAAGAAGACTAGACGAAAATTCTAAGTAGACATCAGAGTGAGATGTCGTTGCTGGAGAGCAAGGCATAGGCAATAGTGGCCGTGAGCAAAGGGCGAAAGCGTCGATAATCAAAGAAGAGACAAGTGGTTTGCGAAATTAAAACAAAGCAACGCAGGGTAGATGCGCTGCTAGATGCCGAGTACAGGAGGGAGTACGAACGAGAGTACGAGTGGGAGCAGTAGAAAGGCTGAGGTTGGCGAAACAGCGAGAGCAGAAAAGTTATTGTTTGTATGTAGAAAGTATGCGAATGACAGGTATGTGTTCAGCAGTAAAAGAAAAATCTAATTGGATTGGAATAGAAAGAAGATTGAATTGAAGTTTGTGAGATAATAAAGCAAAACCAAATAAATTTGGAAACGGAATTTAAAGAATAAGATTGAAGAAGGAAATTGAAGTTGACTTCTATTTAGCTGAGGTTTGCGAAAGAAATTTGAATTTGTTAATCAAAACAAAAGAATAAAATAAGAAGGGTGCTCATAAAGTAAACTATTTTCTTGTAAGATTATTTGAAAATTAAGTGAGATTTCGTTTGTAAATGAGCTAAATGAACAATTTCGGAAAATTTTAACACAATTTGTGTAAATTTGTTAATATAACCAAAAGTCAAAGAATAGTGCTCATAGTGTAAACTATTTTCCTGTAAGAATATTTGAAAATTGAGTAATTTTTACAGCATTTGTGAACATTTAATATCAAAGCTAAGGAATATTTTGTCGAAAGGTTATATTTACTTAGTATAATAATTTTAATACCTTGATATTTGCTAAATATTTTACATTGTTAAATATTGTAAACTTCGACATGGACAGGGACCAAATATTTTCACTGACTGTGAACGGTTTGAAGGATAAACTGACTGGACTGGGACTTTCAACCAATGGACGCAAAGCTACTTTGCAGGACCGACTTTGCGAGCATTTTGGCCTCACCATAGGCGACGAAGATGGCTCCGGGAGTGAGAGCGATTCTGTTCAGAGTAGTGTATCGCAGGCTGGGGTGGTTGGTCGTCCGGCTTTCACATTGCGCGATATTGAAGGTTCTCTTACGTCATTTAGCGGTATCGGGCATCCCTCTGTGGAAGAATGGCTCTCCGATTTCGAGGATAATGCCACAGCTGTGCAGTGGGGGGATCTTCAGAAGTTTATTTATGGGAAGCAGTTACTAAAGGGTGCTGCTAAAATCTTTGTGCGTAGTCAACGCGGCATTAATAATTGGGATACGCTCAAGCGAGCCTTAAATAAAGAGTTTGGGGTAGTGGTATCATCTATTGAAGTGCATAGGGAGCTCAGAAATCGTCGCAAGCGTTCTGGCGAAGACTATCGTGAATATCTCTACAGTCTTATGGAGATAGGGAGGCCGATAAATTTAGACGACAAGAGCCTCATTGAGTATTTTGTGGATGGTATTCCTGACTCTAGGGCAAACAAGGCGAATTTGTATCAGGCTACTACAATTGCAGAGTTGAAAACCCAGATTCTCATATACGATAAAGTGCGTTCAGGGCGCCAACTCAGTTTGGGCTCATCGCAGGGGAAAAGCGAAGATTCGAGCAAGAGTGTAACAAAGCCGCAAGTAACCGATACAAAACGTTGCTATCGATGTGGCGAGGTAGGGCATTTGGCTAACAGCTGTCAGCGTCAACGACAGCCGACATGCTTCGGATGCAACAAACCGGGACATCGCATTGCGGACTGTCCGACAACGAAAGTGCAGGTTAAGCAGGAAACACCTCGTGTGAACACTTTAGAATCGGTGCGTGCTGCTTCTGTAGGATGCGTTATTTTTAAGGATCTAACTATTAACTATTTGACGTTTTCGGCATTGCTAGACACTGGGTGCGACTTGTGTCTTATGCGGTACGATGTTCTCTTAATGCTAGGGGATATTGAATTATCTAAGGAACGGCATCAATTGAGAGGCGTAGGCAGCAGTACTCTTAATACGATTGGTAGTTTCGATATCAAAACAAACATAGACGGGGTCGAAATAGATATTACCTTTCATGTTGTCCGCGAGCGAGATATTGTGTACCAAGCAATCATCGGTAACGAGGTGTTGAGGCAGGTGGACTTGATAGTATCAGAAGATAATGTAGAGTTTAGGAACAAAGCTTAAACCGAACCAACAGCGGGTTTTTCGCAGAAAGAGCCAGAAGCAGAAATAAGTATTTTGAAGGAGTTCAAAGAGATATGTTT